GTCAGTCCTCCACACTTGTTTGTCGATAAGCCTTTCTTTACTTATTTTCCAATCAATCATATATATCTTGTTTCATATAGTTAATTGTTTCATTGATTATACAAAGGCATTTGACTGTGTGGATCAAAACAAACTGTGGCTGACTCTGAGAAGAATGGGAATCCCAGAACACTTGATTGTGCTGATGCAAAACCTATACTTGGACCAGGAGGCAGTTATCAGAACAAAGCAAGGAAATACTGCATCGTTCAAAATTGGGAAGGGTGTACACCAGGGCTGTATCCTGTCTCCATTCCTTTTCAATCTTTATGCAGAACAGATTATCCGGGAGGCTGGGCTCTATGAGGAGAAATGTGGCATCAGGATTGGAGGAAAAATCATCAACAATCTGCGTTATGCAGATGACACACCCTGCTTGCTGAAACTGAGGAGGACCCGAAGCACTTGCTGTGGAAGGTCAGGGACTGCGGTCTTCAATATGGATTGAGACTCAGTATCAAGAAAACAAAGATTCTCACCACTGGGCTGATTGGCAGCATCATAATGGATGGTGAAGGATTGAGATTGTTCACACTTTTGGTTTGCTTCGATCTACAGTCAAAAATCTTGGTACCAGCAGCCAGGAATATTGAGATGAGAAAGTTTGTGGTTAGAGACCTCTCTAAAAGTGCTGAAGTACAAAGATGTCAGTCTGAAACCTAAGTTGCACCTGATACATGCCATGGTCTTTGCAATCACTTGCCATGCATCAGAGAGCTGGACAATGACTAGGGAAGATAGAAGGAGAATTGATGCCTTTGAGCTGTGGTGCTGGAGAAGAGTATTGAGTGTACCATGGACTGCTAGGAAAACAAACAGGTTTGTCCTGGAGAGGGTGAAGCCAGGCTGCTCCTTGGAGGTAAGGATTCTGAAGCTTCGTCTGACATACTCTGGACATGTTGCATGGAGGGACCAGTCCTTGGTGAGGGACGTCATGCTTGGAAGGGTGTAGGGACAGCACAGGAGAGGAAGACCCTCAATGAGATGGATTGATTCAGTGACTGGGGTAGTGGGGGTGGGGGTGTCGGAGATGGTGAGATTGGCACAGGATAGGGCAGAGTTTAGGGCTTTTGTATATAGGGTCGCTATGAGTTGCAGGTGACTCAACGGCACATATCAACAACAACAATTATAGTTAATTACAATACAATGTCTCCTCTTATTCCAATAAAATGTTCATTATCTATTAATGTCCCACTCCACCTCTGCGCATGCAACACCAGATTCTGTCTTTGTAAATATTCTCTGTTGTTGCTGTTGTTGTTGTTGATTACCTTTGAGTGAGCACGACTCATAGTGACCCTATGAACAAAATGCTTGAAGTCCCTGTACAACTATCAACATCCATCAAAGATCATAGAGTTTCCGGAGGCATGTTATTTAGGAGGTGGAAGCCACTCCTGCTTTTTACCTCCAACAGTGATCTTATGCTATATTTGTCCATTTGTGACTGATTTGTTTTCCTCAGAATGATATCCTCTAGAGTCATCCACATAGCGCTTAATGAGCTCCAATTGTTTTTTCAATGCCAAGTAAGACTCTATTGTGTAAATTTACTCATTCTCTATCCTTGCTTTTTTTCCTTTTTTTTTTTCTTATTAGGGTGCTGGAACTTTCCATAATTTTTAGATACGAGTCCCTTAACAGAAAAGTGAAATGAAAATTTCTAGAAACAAATGAGAATGAAAATGATACCAAAACCTCTGGCACACAATAAAACTAGTATTCAGCTTAATGTATAATATAAACAAACATAGAAGAGACAATACCAATAAGAAAAGACCTGATCCAACTTCTCCAACATCCAGAAAAGCAGCAGCCAAGCACTTAGAGTCAACTGATCTTTGATTAGGAGATATTGTTATTGTGTGCCACTGAGACAGATCCGGCCCAGAGCTGACCCTCCAGCCAGTTCTCAGAAGCAGTTAATTGCTCAGGAGGAGACTGCCTATCTTTTTTCCACAGAACAGCTGGTGGATTTGAACCACGTGCCTTTAGGAGTGCAGTGCAGCAACAGACACTTTATCATACTGTACTGGCAAAACTGGATGGCTATCTGCCGAAAACAGAAATAAGAACCACCTCACCATTCACAAAACCTAGCTCAAGGTGGATCAAAGATGCAGGGGTTAACCCCCAAACTATGAAGACTATCAGAAAAAAATAGGACCAAACTTAGGAGACCTGATCTAAAGCATAGGGAGCTCTGGTGGTTTAATGATAAGGAGTTATACTACTAACTCAAAGACTTGCGGTTCAAATCCTTGAGACGCTCTATAGGAGAAGTATGAGCAGTCTCCCGACTCTGAAAACCCATTGGAGAGTCAGCAATGAATCAGTTCAGACTCCATGGTATGGCTATTGTATAACAATCTACAGCATATATAGGCTCTCAAACATAGCCAAAGCATACAATTAAAAGAAGATAAAAGGGTGAACAGGATCTTCTAAAAATTAAATCGTGTGTGTGTGTGTGTGTGTGTGTGTGTGTGTGTGTGTGTAAAAGTCTCCAAAAAGGGTAAAAGGAGCCTACACATGGAAACCACATGCAAATGCAGTAAAATTTAACAAGTCATGCAACCACGGTTGTTGGGTGCTGCCAAGTCGATTCCAACTCATAAACCAAAATCTAAACCCACTGCTGTGCAGCTGATTCCCACGCACAGTCACATTATGTGATAGAAAAGACCTGCCACACAGGGCTTCCTAGACTATAAGCAGGGCCAGATCACGAGGACTTTTCTCCTAAACAGTAGCCGATGGGTAGTAACCACTGAATTTGCAGAAAGCAGCAGTGTGCTTACCCACAAAACCACCTGGGCTCCTCTGTGTGGTTATTACCACTCTCTGTTTCCAAAAGTTTTTCATCACCTCAGATAGAAACGCAGTCATCCTCCATCGATACCTCCCCAGTCGTTGGTAGTCATTTTTAACTCCATATATTTATCTCTCCTAGGGAGCTCTGGTCGCATACTGTGTAGGGAGTTGTGTTGCTAACCTAGAGATGATGCCTCTCTGGTCGTTCCAATGCCCTTGGAAGAAAGATGGGCAATTTCCTCTCATGTGATTTACAGTTTCAAAAAATCCACTGGTGGGTCAGCTATGAGTTGGTTCTGACTCAACAGCAATGAATGAATATGAGAGGTAGTTAATATAAATATTGTTGCTAGGCAATGTCAAGTCAGATGGTAAAATACCCTTCTGTTTCTGACTTCTTTCATTCAGCATAATATTTAAAAATCCCATTTATGTCACAGCATCCATTAGAACTTAATTTAAGGATAAATATGATTATATTATATCTATGTATTATATTTTGTTTATCCAATCATTTGTTGATAAACATTTAATTTATCCTAAATTTGAATATTATGTGCATAATTTTTATTTTATGGTAGTACTTACCTTCTCTGGCTACTCAGAGATTTACCATCACCAATAACTCTGTGCCACATTTACACATGCACACGTGTATATATGAGAGGCAGAAAGGTACACATACATAGCCGTGAATTTGGAAATCATAAAAGGTGGAATGAATGGAAAGATCAGACTATGATACTGTACTTTTGAACAAATTTCCTTGCCAAAACCCCCCACTTTTGAAATAGCATTATTTTATTATTTCTTGTCTGATTTTGTAAAACTACTTAATTGCAAAATGTGTTTTTATTCACAGTGCTTCTTAATATTTCATACTTTATGCCTAGTCATGATTCTATTTCAAATGAGATAAGTAGGCACATCTTTAGTGAATGAACTGGGCGATACTGAAGACTGAGCCACGTTCCTTAAGAATTCAATCTCCTCCATGTTTCAGTGACCAACAGTACCTCATATCCAACTGAACTTTGTGTGAATACTAAGCTGAGTAATGGAGCACAACACACTTGATCACCACAAAGTGTAAGGTGGGAATGGGACTGGGCAGGTGTGGCCTCTTTGACAGAGTTACCAAAATCCAACAGGGGCTCCAGCCAGATAGCCGCTTTGGGCAGGGAGAAGAGGCTGGAGAAGGCCTTCTTAGGCAGTAACCTGGGACAGCAGGAGAGCTGGATTAGGGTACAGAGCGGTGGGGTTAGAGAGCTGGAGGATGGAGGAGGGACCTGAGGGAAGGCTAGAAGAGCTGCAAAAGTAAGATTCTGCAAGTCCATTACTTTGAATACACATAGCTACTATTCTGCTTCTTTCACCAGTTCTCAGAACCACAGACACTTATTCTGATAAGTGATGGGGCTTTCTATCCAGAACTCTCAGATAATAGTGCTGTATGGATTTTGCTGAAACCTCAGAATTCTGCTTATTAAGAGTTTAATATTGCATTTACCTCTACAATACCTTGGTTTTAATAGAAATACAAATTGGTTTTTTGTGAAACATTCTTCTAGGTGGTACAGCACTGGTCTGTGCATTGCTGTACAGAGGTAACTCATGGTGGCTGTGATGCTAAACACTGTGGCACTGATGTGCTAAATGTGATAATGGTTACCCATGGTGGACAGTATTTGCTGGCACTTCCCAATTAAAGCAAGCTTGGAAGCAGGAGTGGCATCCACTTCCGAAATGGCTTGCCTCCGGAAACTCTATGAACAGTGCTCAGGTCTTCTGTTCATAGGTTGCTATGAGTCGTCTATGACTCAATGGCACTTCAACAACAACAACCACCACCACTACCTATTTCTATTATTCTCAGCCGGACTGTATACACTTTCACAGGGAGAAGCTCTTCATTCTCTTCTTTGGATACTCTTGTAGTGACTGACAAAATATTAAGACAAATCTTTATGTTTCTCAAGAGGGAATTACACAGCATGAATACCCAGGCTTATTTCCAGAGAGACTTTTTCATAATAGAAAGCAAGCTCTGTGGATAGCAGCTTGTGGTATGAACATGTCACCAGGGTCCATGATTGGCTCACAGTTCATACTGTGTGAGGTGGGAAGCTGGCACGGCTGCTCACCTGTTCTTTCTGCAGCGAATCGTGAAGGCAAGAAAGAAGAGTACGAGAACAAGTCCACCACTGAGAAAAGTCCAAACTATACCCAAGAGGACGGGAGACACTGGAGATGCGGTCTTACTGCTGTCAGACGAGATCTGAGAACAGAATAAGGTGAAGCTGTTAGGAAAGGACAAACAGCGTAAGCTGGCGATCACCAAGGCTAGCAAATAGTTAATTCTAAATGAGCAAGCATCTTTCTTCTTCCTCCTCTTCCCTCTCCTAACCCTGCCCCCCTCTAGCCCCACCACAACACACCAGCAGTACATCTAAGAAGCTCTTATACTTCACGACTGATCACTTACAACAGTTGTCCTGCAGATATCCTGAAAGCTTCTCCAGTCTAGTTCCTGGTCAGGAAAATTTTCACAAAATTCAGAGCAGTTTATTTCTGGCTCCATGTCACTGCATGCCACTCGTGGTGTGTGGTTATTCACAGTCTTGCTTACCCACTGGTAAAGATGCAGATCTTTGATCAAACCACAAAAGCAACTTAAGCCTTCTCTTCAGAGGTCTCATGCTGGAGCAGGCTTCTGGCTCAGCATGTGAGAGGAAAGACCCGTTCAGGTGGAAGTGGAGGGTGACTGCTCTAGGCTCTGTCATCATTCACATTCCAGGGTCTGCTGGCTCCCTGATGCCACTTTGCACCATGTGAGTCAAGAGTAGGCATCTTGGAGTCATTCGGTTACCGAAAGGATGGCTCTTCCTTGCCACCAGATGGCAGTCCTTGCTCCAAGTACTTTCACATCGGTTGCTAAAAGAAAAGAGTAATTAAACTGTAACAAACAAACTTGATATAAGTTTACCTATCTCTAGCTATACATACATGCAAATGATTTATTGTTGTTGGGTGCTGCTGACTTAATTGTGAGTTCTAACAACTTCATATGACAGAGCTGAACTGCTCCACAAGGTTCTCTAAGTAGTTCATCCAGTCAACTATGACTGATAGTGATTCGATATGAACAATAGCTTTTTTAAAATTATTATTAAATTTTATTAGTTTTAGTGAACATTTACAGAGATTTTGGGTTTTCATTCATTCATTGTTGCACTGTTTTCTCTACCCTCCTCCCCAGTTCATTCTTCTTCCCCCCTCTGAATGTCTGTTTTAATTGTCCAGTTGCCACAGTGCTTGTCAAAGCCAGTTCTGATTAATCTCCTTTGTCAGTGTGTCCTTTGCAATTCCCTATCACTCCTCCCTGAGAGAGACTTCACCCTGATTCATAAGGAAAAGGGGATGGTGTATTCTCTTAGCTACTTCCTGCTGGAAAGGAATGCTGTAGCTTTCAGGGTGAAGATCTTCTCTCACTACTCTAAAGGGCCCCTTTGGCAGTAGGAAACACATAGACTATTATGGAGAGAACAACAGCTCTTAACCTTGCCCTATCCTGCGTCAGAGTGGTATCCACTTCCGAAATAGCTCACCTCCATAAATTCTATGAATGTGGAGAAACAATGAAAGTTATACAAGTGTTCAGGTCTTTCGTTCATTGGGTCGCTCTAAGTTGTCTATGACTCGATGGCAATTAACAACAATAACAACATTGAAAGAGTTCTGCTGGCCTAGTGGATAGAAAGTTATTCTACCAAGCCTAAGGGGGGTGATTTTTAATCTGCAGCCCTCAGGCCTAGTTTTAATTGGTTTTGGTCAAACATTCTTCTAAGTGGTGTAGCTCTGGTGTGTCCATTTGCTGTAAAGAGGTTGTGATGTTGAACACTGTGATAATGATGTGTCAAATACGATAATGGTTACCCATGGTGGACAGTGCTTGGTGGCGCTCCCAGAATAAACAAACTTGGAAGCAGGAGTGGCATCCACTTTCAAAATAGCTTGCCTCCAGAAACTCGATGAATGTGGAGAAATGATGAAAGCTATACAAGTGTTCAGGTTTTTCGTTCATAGGGTCGCTGTGAGTCATCTATCGCTCGATGGCACTTAACTACAACAATATCCTGTATCATCCTCACAAGCACTGATATGCTCAAGCCCAGTGCCACAGTCACTCTGTCAATCCATTTTATTGAGCGTCTTCCTCTCTTTTCTGACCCTCCACCTTTCCCAGCGTGGTGTCTAGGAAACTCTGTGATGCAATGCTTCTCTGTCCCACATGGTCACAGCAAGTCTGTCTTGCCTCAATAGAAGTGACTCTGGAGTTAATCTCTATGGAAACAGATTGCAAGGTCTTTCTCTCACAGAGCTCCTGAGTTGGTTTGAACAGCCAACCTTTTAGGTTAGCCGTCAAATGCTTAAAAGTTGCACCCCATGGCTCCTAATGACTTCTTATAAAGATTTTAAAATATATAAATTACATAGCTAGATTTTTATTATGTATAGTTATAAATTTTCTTTATTACATAAATATAATCTGTATTATATATGTGTAAAATAGATACAATAAATTGAAAAGTATATTTAAACCAGTATAATAAACAATACTTTAAAAATAAGGTGATGTGGGGAGCTCTGGTGGCCTAGTGGCAAGAAGCTGCACTGCAATCCCAGAGGTACACAGTTCAAATCCACCAGATGCTCTGCTGGAGAGGGAAGGCAATCTCCTCCAGTACCAGTCAGATCCAATTTGACGGTGCACACACACAAAATATAATACAAAAAAAAATAAGGTGGTGCACATCTAAAGATTTTCAGGTTTAAAGAGTCAAAATTTCTCTTTAGATCCTTTTAAGTCTCAGCACTGAAAAACTTTAGTTGAGAGACTTTGGAGGCACGTTTCCTTTTGTCCCTGCTGGGAAATCCCTTCCTTTTGCAAGATCCTTCCATGCAACTGGAGCTTAATCTCTGCCTGATTCTGGGCTTCAGAGCAGGGCAGTCCCTCCAGATCTTATTCTGTGACTGGAGACACATGCAATGTTGGGGTCATAGATGACTATCCTTTGACAGGTTTTATTCTTTTTTTTTCAACTGTTAGGTTAAGAGAAAGGGGGACAGGCTACTCAGGTGACAAGGATAAAAATTAAGGGCTCTAGAAATTGCCACGGAATGAGCGAATGGCAGGAGCCTACTGCTATTTCTCTCAGAAGACACCTGCAATATGGACACTGTGATGTAGAAAGAAGCTCAGCTTGTATAACAAATGTAGAAAGGCAGAAAGGCTTAATTAGTACAAGTAGAACAACTAGGCATATCTTCAATGCTATAAAGTAATGCATCCCATAATAGACCAAAAACAAATAGACTTGCTATTTTACCAATGGCCATTTAAAAGAGGATGTCGCTTCTGTTTTGTAGTTTTGAAAATAGCTTTGCCCAGTGTTTTTTGATTGTGAAGGAAAATTGAAAGAGGACAAATTACCAATTACTATTATTTCAGCAACCATTGAATGCATGGCCAATGTTTAAACCAGAACAATAGTGACAGGTGTAGAATGCCATCTTTGGATTCTGCGTGCTCGGGCATAAACAATACAGCACCAGGTGCAGGCCACTCACTGGGCTCTCATATATTCCTGAATTATTTACCAGATTCATTATGATGAAATAAATTCCCAAGAGAGCCAAAAACTACTACCATCTCTTTTCAAGACATTTCAGAACACTGAATTAAAAATTAAGAAAACAGAAAAATATGACTATTTACATCCTAGCTTAATTGAAATTTTAATTCTTAAAAGGTTCTTCCCCAGTTACACATCCTCTATAGTCTGTTTTAGCAAAACTCAGTGTCATAAACCACACAAAGGATTATATTACATTATTATATTTTATATTATGGATTGGAAGAAAGTATACTTATTCTGTTGCCCTTTTACTCATACTGGCAAATAAGCACATAACACTTAAATAATTATTTTAGGTATTCTTATATTTATTTATATATAAAATTTCATTTAATTTTCACTACAAGCATCATTTCTTATTTCAAATAAGGAGAGTGAAAAGCAGAGAAGTGGAGAGTCTTACCTCAAACCTACAAATTCAAGACATGAATTCAGGAGTGCACATTCCAAGGTCAATATTCCCTCCATATAAGACAGACCTTATAGATTGTCTTCCAAGAGACACCAGATAGCCTTTTGCATTTCTCCACATTAAGTTAAAAGAGCTGTACTCTCGGAAGTTCAGCAAAGGAGAGGAACACCCTCAATGAGCTGTACTGACAAGAGTGACTTAGCAAGGGGCTCTCGTGTGTCAGAGATGATGAGGACGGATGTTCATAGGGTCACTGTGAGTCATATTTGACTCAACAGCATCCACCACCACACACCATAGTCCATCTCTATCAGTGGAATTCAACCTAGGGCAAGGCATTGTGGTGGCATACTTCATAATGTGTTGCGCTGCTAACCTAAAAGTCAACAGTTCAGATCCACCAGCTACTCTGTGAGAGGTGGATAGATAATAACCCCCTATAAATATATTTACAGCCTCAGAAATCTGATGGAGAGTTGCCATGAGTTGGAATTGACTGAATGGCAGGAAATTTGGTTTGGGTTTAGGCAGATGATATTTGGAGACATTTGTGGCTGCCATAAGTGGGAGGAGAATGCTACTGAAATCTAGTGAGTTTGCTAAGTCTGGTGACATTTCTAATTATCCAAGAGTGCATGGGACAGCTGAAACAACAAAGAATTATCTGGTCCCAGTTGATAATATTGCCAGTGTAGGGAAGCCCGTGTCTAGATTGTTGATCCCAAATGATGACAATCTTAAGCCAAAATGAACTCTGGGAAACTGTGAACATGATGAGTGATCCATACAAATCATAAACTCCTGAAGGATACAAATGTGACTTGGAATGAATTTCTGGGTACGCTTCAAAGATCCCTCAGACAGACTAAACTCACTTGCATGGAGCTTTGTGCATTTGTTTCTTAAAGTCCATGGACATCTAGTGTAGGAACATTACATATGAGGGTATAGAGCATTCAGTTCCAAAGCAGGCACACATTCTCAGAGATTCATACTTGAAGAAATAGACAGCAGGTGAATGACTCAATTACTGAAATAAGAGAGTTTTAAATAGCTTTATAAAGTGTTAACTGATTGGAAAAGAAGAGGTATTTCCCGAGGGAAATGACAAGGTATCTGATCATAAGATCAATACAGAATCTAAGACACAAAGATGAAGGTCTACAAGAACCCCCTTAAAGCAAGCAAATACCTTCTATTCTCCATATGCTATAAAGTTTCTAGAGGTGAATTCAATAGCAAGGCCAGTATCATGTATTGTTGTTACTGTTATGTGCAAGTAAGTTGAGTATGGCTCATAGCAATCCTATAAACAGCTGACCTGAACCTTGCCTTATGCTGTGCCATCTCTGACACATTAGAGCCTATTGCTGAAGTCACCATGTCAATCCATCTCACTGGGAGTCATCTTCTTCACTGACCTTCCATCTTTCAGAGCACGATGTTCCTTTCCAATATCCTACAAGATCA